TAGGAACTCAGGTTGTTTGTGGTGGGTTAGTACTAGGTTTTTTCCTGTCCCATCTTTCTTGCCATGAGAAGGCTTTACTCAATTAAATGCACGACAGTGAAGTATTAGTTTACTTCGCTGGTGTTGCTGTTGATGACGTTAAAGATTATAGATCATAGCCAGCAGACTAAGCTGTTCGGCCGAACATTTCCGCAAAAACGACGTAATTCAAGCAATTTTCCAGAAGAATACTTGAACGTAAATCCTCCGTGAGTGTTCTTTGTTAAAATTTCACTATTTATATAACCTTTACTCCAGGAACGATGAGCCATTGCCATATAGCTACTTTGCTTGGACTCTGAAGTCGAGGCTACATCTATTTCACGATTATTCAACACTGACTGCCATTAGGAATTCGTAACCCGTTGTATTCGATTTTCATCAGTTGACCATCTATTTGGCGTTTTGTCAGAGGAGCGGCTAAATATTTCTACGACGTGAATTACCCTACGGCTTTCGTTTTAGCAGCTCCCCAAACCTGTGTAACTATCCCTCGTCTCATCGTGAAAGTAATGAATACTTAGCATATGAACGTGCTACCTCCACCACGTACGTATTCTCATCACGCCAAAGTTGGACCCTGCTTCAGTCGTCCCGCCTATCGAGATGGCCGTCAGAAGAAGGCGGTGAAGGTGTGTGCGTCGATTTTATAATTTCCCCAGGTTTATACGATTGCCACGGAATCAACTTATCTGCTTTTGTTCGGAGTCCCTTCAATAGATCTGGAACAAGCGCTCAAGGATAGATGTAAACGATTCGGCACACTTGAACGAATCATCAAACTGTCGGAATACCCAGACAAGGAAGAGTTCACTGATGTGTTTTTGGTGAAATTCCCGTCGGTCCAGATCGCAAGGTGTGGACGTATTCTTTTACAGCGTTGCGAACGCGCTATGCGTGTGTTTTTCCTCAGCTTTCTTACATTGTTTCGGTTCATGTTTTTTTCTCAGGATTTAACTGCACGGGGAACCTTAACTTTTCTAGAACTTGTAGAATAGGTCGGTCGATTCTGGTGGGAATGAGCGATGGGCAACGAAAGTCCATGGTAAGCAGCTGCAGTGCATTAAAATTAAGGAAGCATGTGAAGAGTGCGTGCAGACAACGGCTAGTGTTCAACAGTCACGCGAAAAGAAACAGTCTTGAATGTAAGAACGCAAAGTATGGGGCTGAGACGTATTCGCACGATAATCGAATGCACTAACAGACTAGGTGTTTGTTGGAGCGAGATGGTCCAAGGGGTTAGAGCGCGTGGTTCGAACCTGACCTCTGCCTCTC